GACAACCCCGTGACAATATGCGTTTTGTACTGCTGTTACACAGCACAAAACGCATAAAAACGCATAATGAAATCCCGAATCTGCACTTTTCTGACCCACGTTTGCAACATATACGGCCATGCCTGTGATACTGGAATTGAAGGTAGTACTGTCTGTTCTGTGATTCTTGCTGCTCGGCATCGTTCATGGCAGACGAGTATCCAATAATGTCATCTACAAAACCGCACACTTCGCGCTCATTTGTTCCTGTCAGCGCGTCAAAACAGGCGTTTCCTCCAGCCAGAGAAGTTGGTGAATATGGGGAGAACCTCGTTGTTGAAATTCCACTCTGTAGTATGGATGAATAACATTTCTTCTTCAAATGGGCCGCCGACTAGGCTCCAAAGTTTTGTTTGCTCCTTATAACGATAAACGAAATATCGAGCGCGTGCAATTGGATCTAATTGAGTTAGCCGCGATTTTTCAGCGTACGGCAGGGCGAGTGCCTCGACTGAGCCGGCACATTCATTGTCTACAACTTTTTTTTAAAATCTACAACAGTTCAGGCCACTGCGTTTTAGCTACTGAAATAGGAAGAAATGTCGGTAATCCAATCTGTCAAACCATTGCCAGTACCTTCTGTTCCTTGTTATGCCAGTGCGTACAAGAGTTTCGTAAGCCGGCGAGAACTTGGTACGCGTCATCGTGTTGCACTAGCCCATAGATGAAATCGTGATTGGGCGACTGGCCGCGTTGATGTCATTACGACTACGAATCTTTTTTTTCCACAGGCATAAGAACATATTACTGGATAGTTTGAGCAGTTCAGCCTTTTTCGCCATAAAAAGCAAATGATCGGGACGCCGCGCCATTCGTCGATCGTAACGCATAGCGAAAGTTTTGGAGATGTCCGCATACGGCATTAGCCGATCTTGAAAGGTAGGTTGTAATTTCAGCAGTTACTACAACTCGGTTCGGCTAAGTTCGGCTCGACTGGTGGTCGTTGGTGCTTGGGAAGCCTTTGTCATCTCTGCCAGCGGTGTTTCATGACGTCGCTCGCCGGGATCGTTTGCCAGCTTGCCATAGAACCAAGGCAATGCTACCCAGACCGCATCTGCTGTATGGACTGGCTGGTGGGAAGGTGGGGTAGTAGAGGGGGGCAGCCGTGGTTGTGGAAGTACGAGGAGGGGTGAGCGGCGGTTAGTGAATGTACAAATGTCTTCTCCTCCCTCCTCTCTCTTCCTAAGCATCAAATTTTCCCATTCCTCCTCCCCCCTGGTAGTGAAGACTGAGGGCAACGGGTAACCAAACTCGCCTCTGCCACTTAGCCCAAGAGAACCGGAGAGACTGAGTTCTGTACCCAAAAACAGGGCTTTTGTACGGGAAGAGTGTGGGCGTAGCCAGGGTAGGAGGTGTATAGATGACCTCAACGGGCTGTAAAATGCGCCTACCCCGATACGTTACAAATCACATATGCGTGACCTGAAAAGCCATAAAAATCCTTCTTTTCTACCTTTTTTTAACTTACTTTAGCACATTTAAGCTACCGCCACCCGCCGCGGGGCAAACCTACCTGCCGTCCGGAAAAAAAATTTTTTGCTGGTCGTGCACGAGACGAGCCGTGCCGAGCCGAGTCGAGCCGAGCCGTGTTTTAGTGGATGCCGTAATTTCTCACCAACAAAAATTGTTGAAATGATAAATATTCCGTATCGACGTCCAAAAGAAGCAAAAGAAGTCTATGCCCTTCAAGCGGTGGCATCCTTATACCGTACTGACTGTTATCTGCCATTAGCATCGTTTCTTGCACACCCACATTAACAGGCTCTGCTTCTTCTATGCCTTCATCTTCTCCGGTTCCTCCGGTTCTATGTTTGCATCTGCAACCATTACTTGGTTGTGCTGTTGCAACCAGTTTTCTGATAGCAATATTGTGAGACTGCTAAAGAGGCTGGTTGGAAAAATACCTTGCGATTTGCCACACAAGATGTGATCTACGTTACCTGAAATGTAATTACCATCATACTGCAGCCGCCGAGCTATGCGGACGTGTACAACATGAGTATTTGTTGGACGGCGAGGCAGCATAGGTACTGTTGTATTTACGGAAACGGGGACATTAACAATTCCACCTCTACATCGAAACTATCCAGTGAGACCAAATGAAGGCAAAACTGTTTGGAAGATATGGATAACTACTATTAGTCTCTCTTCTAACTTTGTCAGATCACTAATTATTTCAGACACCGAGGGCAAAATCAATCGATTTGAAAGGTAGTAACGAGGTTGCTTCCACTGTCTAATGCTTTTAGCGCAAATCGAGCAAAAAGACTCCTCATCGTTGTGATACAAATAAAAAACGCGGTGTATATAATCTATACGAGCTCGATTCTCATTGGCTGCTTGCAAAAGATTTGACTTAGCAAGTTTTATATGGAGCGTTTGAATACCAATCTACCACAGCAAATTCCAACCTGGGTCGGGCCTTCTTTGATTGCATTTTTATATACAATTAAATCATTCGCATAACTGCTCCTTTGTTCTAGACGGGCTCTACGATGCCTAATTCGTTCTTGGGCTCGCACTTCCGTCACGCTTCTCCGACGCTGCATTCGCAAAGCTTTTTCTTCACGCCCTCTTCCTCTTCCTTGAACAGATCTCCGGACTTACACTGCCGCATTGTTTGCCTCGCTTTTCCTTTCTCTGAATTCCGAAGCAGTGAGAATTCGCCGCTCTTTCTTCTTCTCTACATTCCAAATCCGTCTCTCGGTAAGACTGCATTGCTTCACTATTCATATGTTTCTCTCTTTCTCTGTGTTCCTGGTCAGTTGCTCTGCGCAATTGCATAGACCCACTGTTGGCTCTCCCTTTTTCTTTACATTCGAAATTAGTGACTCTGCGAATTCTCATAGCTTGCGCGTCGCCGTCCTCTGTCTTTGTCTGCAGCCTACTACCTGCCGCTTCAGCCGCATGTGCTGTGCTGCTTTTCTTGCTTCAGCCTCTTTATAAGCTGGACTGGTTCTTGCAGTGCGTTTTGCAGCGGTATCTCTTGCTCGTTCAAGCGTCAGATAGCTGCCTTGACGAATTGTGCAGAAGTTCACATCTGCAATCGTTACATGCGTAAGTTCAGTAAATATCATACTGTAAATATTCCGTTTTTTCAACAACAAACCTATTTTCAAATTTTCCTTTGTTTCTCTTTTTCCTTTTTCACATCCATACCGTAATCCACGCCTATACCCCCATGGGATTTTGTATTAATACAAAGCCAGAGTTGACATGTACTTCTGTAAAATGATTTATGTGTTTTTGTGTCCAGCGACTACGGCTGGATACAAAGGGATAAACATATCGGGCCACCTTCTCTTGGGGGCAGGACCTATCTCCCCTATATAACCCTTGGTTTTCTTCATTCTGGGTCTTTTGCGAGGATTCGTCTTATATTCTTCTGGGTCTTCGATCTTCGGTTCGGAACTCTCGTCAGTGCACTCGATCGACATTCACAATTTACTACAAAACGTCTGTTTCCTTGAATGGCCCCGGTCGTCTAAACGCCGTTCGGCTTTGACCAATTCTAACAGCCCCCGACCAGGTCTTCTCAATTGTACTGTCGTTTAACTTATTTTCCTGACCAGGTTTAGATAAATTTAATATGATAAAAACCGCGCTTGGCGTTTCATCTTGCCTAGTCACAATGGCCCCATAATGCCTCACAACTATACGTCAAAAGCATTTACTATACATATAAAGGACATAATAAAACGATTAGGAACTTTGTTATGTTTTACTCGAAGGCCTCTGACCCGTAGAATCACTTCTGCTTGATTCTCCACAGTCGGCTGTCCTTGTCGTCCGACAGGATTTCGCCTGTGACACTGCGGAACGTTGAACCTCCACGTCGCAGCCCCGTGCTTCATGCTGGCTTGAATGCGATATTCGATGCCGACGTTTTCGCTCAGTATCAGGTTGCCAGCTTCTTTCTCGGCTGATTTGCCTCTTTGCCTCAGTTGGCTTTCTCCTGGGCACGACTTCAAATGCATAAGTGAATCCTAAAGTACCAATTTATAATGTAGTCGCTAAAAATGTGCATGAGACGATACTTCTGGGTGCACGTACGGAGTGGAAAGTGATGGACTTATCGGCAGAGGAGACAACGGATCGGTGCAAAAACTAATGAACGTCTGAAAATTGGCTGTAAGAAAAGACGTCCATTTTAGTCAGGAGATTTTTTCTGAATGACAGTGATTTGGAGAACTCGGGCGGCATATAAACAAAAAAAAATGTCCCAGATCCACTTAGTAATGTGCTATTTCAGTAAGGAGACAAGGCGTAATATAAAACGAAGAGTTGCTGCTTATGGGAGAAGCTCAAATTCGGATGTTTAAACATTACCAAATCCAAGAGACTCTCAAACTTCAGCGTCTGCCCCAAGCGCTATTTTAGCAAAATTGAGATACTATTGGTAGGGAGGGTGAAGGGAAAGATGCCAATGTGGGTATTGGAAACGAAAGAACGACGGACGGAAAACTAGAATACTAGCTGGAGCTGAGCTGGAGACACGAAAAATGAAGAGGAATGAAAGAGACAAGGATGAGGACAAGAAAAAGGGCAAGGATTTGGTGGATGCTGTAAATAGGAACAAATATTGCGCAGATTTGCACAACTGTAGTTATGCAAATTTTTATTATTATATATTATTATGCGTTTTTGCCTATATGCAAATTGCAAAAACCCATATTGAGACGACCTCGTCTGTGTGTATGTGTGTGTATGTTTGTGTGGGTGCGTGTATTCGTCTGTCCGGGTATTTTAACTCGGCAAGCAAGCAAGTTCCGGCGCCGAGATTTTGCTAATGGGTACCCCAGTCAAGTGCCACCCCAGAACCGCGGTACCATCCCTCACGCAAGTCTGGGCTCCGCGTGCGAGAGGGGGAAAGTTTTGGCGGGAAAATTGGTAACTCGGGAACGCGAAAAAATAGGAGGCTGAAATTTTGAGGCTATATTCCCCGTCCAAATATAACTCAAAGATTTCAAATTCAGTCTCCAGGTGCGCGTGGTTCCCGCGTATGGCCCCGTAAGATTTTTCGGCGGGAAAATGGCTAACTCGGAAAGTAGCAAAGATGGGAATGTTCGCAATCCACTTACGACGACTTAAAGTTATCAAATTCACCCCTCAGGCGTGCGTGATTCTCGTGCACGGGCACTTAAATTTCTGGCGGGAAATTACTCATTGAACGGCTGGGTCGTTTTCAAAAAACGACCGCTAAAAGGGTATTGTTTATTTTCTTTTATGCAAAATTTACGATGAGTTACGGTATTGAAAGCACAAGGTAGGTGTAAAGAAAAACAACCACTCATGCAGTTAACCTAATTATTTCAAATCTGGTGCAGAAACGCATGATGGCGCCGGCTCGCCTGGTGCGTTCCAGCCTGGGTTTATTTTTAAGTGTCAAATGTTAATTCATATGCAAAAATGTACCAGATATTCAGAAGAAAAAAAACTTATAGAAAAACAGTGATATATATGAGTAATAAAAATGCACGGTCGGATTCGAAGGCACCTTCTGTCCTGGTGCTGAAATAAGAAATAAATGTTGAGGAAATTCATTTCTCGCCTAAAAGGCGCGCCTGAGCGTTTCACTCTTCCCGGGGGAGGGGTATGGTACAATTATGTAAGATGGTAATGACCTCAACATATGCAGGATATTGAGGTTGACAGCCCTGAAATACAGCCATAGAACCGGTCATATGTGCCATGACGGGTCATCTGCGTAACTAAGTGAAAGAGGCCACTGCGACTAACTTTTAGGAACGTGAAGAGGAGTTTATGATATACTATGGGTATGACATATCTATATGGTCGTTGCTAACACAAAGAAATTGAATTTGACCTGGATTACAGCAGGTCGTCTAATAATTGACAATAGACAGTGAATAATCTTGTTCTCATTAAAGGGCTAGTACAGTGCCACTGGGCACGTGTCCGTAAAAAAACCCAGGCTGGAACGCACTAGGCTCTCCGGTGCAATCATGCGTTTTTGCACTAAACTCGTAGATCGCTATTAGCAGAAATGATCCCTACGCTGTAGTCTAAAACTTAGGCTCATATTGGCCGTACTTTGACCCTTTCGGGCATGCAGGAGGAAGGGCGCTAGTTGTGATGAAGGTGCATTATAGAGCCGTACGGGCCTCCAAGTACATAATTACAGTTTTTATGCGTTTCTGCTGTGCAGCGCTATAGCGCTACTACAGCCAGCGAAAACGCAC